ATCTTTTGTTGCCCTCCTTGATCTTCATCTAATGACTGTGGTCATGTGAATATCATATATTTGAACTGCAGATTACAGTGCAAAGCAGTTATAAAAATAAATCATTCTCATGCTTTAATTTAACTACTGCTTAAGCTGTGTTCATTACTGCGAAAGTCACTCTCATCTTTATTTAATAAATTAATTTTTGAGCGTCCGTCACAGAAAAAAGACCTTAGCGAATGGTTAATGATGAAGGCATTTACGAGATAATCCCTTGATGAACAAAGCTGTTTGGTCGAGACGAGACTTGAAGGTTTAGGCCAGTGCTCGTCTTCACAAAGGCTCCTAGCAAACCACTACGGAACTAAGCCTAACGTATCCTCTCCAGTTTAATTTTTGAGCAGACTGACTGACAAGAGCTAACATTTAGAAACATGAGTGGTTCGGATAGGGTGTTTGTCCGACGAAACTTTCCACTGATCACCGTTTTCGCACCATACATATCAATTCAAAGTTGTTATGTTCTTTCTCACCTTAAGAATATTGCATATTGGTGGGTGCTGTCCTGTTATTTTTTAAATTTCACCAAAGGTTGATTAGTTTTCTTTACGACCTTCTGAGTTAGTAAAAAGAACACCCTTTTGTTTCGTAAGCAACGAACTAGACGATTTCTTAGAAAATCACCGAGCCGATAACCATCCTAAAGGAATGAAATATGTGCATAAAAATGCCTCCTACCTTAAGACCGAGCCAACGGTAAGATGATACAAACCCAAAAGGTTTTCATTATCTGCGACTACTCAAACTCTGGAGAACAATGACAGTGAGTAGCGCGTTGAGGTACCTTTAAGTGTAACGCTGGGCCAGAATGCATCTCCAGTTTAGCACATAGATATTGATTACATGTTTAAATAAAAAACAATTATCAAACAATGCTGATTGAAAGTGAAGCCAATTAAACAATAAAGCCGTTATATCGAAACACGTTGCTTTCTTTAGAACAAGAAAACATTTTTCGCATACATTATCGATGAACGCAGACACAAATACCATGATGGCCAATTAGGACCAGTGCGCGTGCTACATTTTAACAACTAAACCAGCGTGCAAGGCAACAATTTATACTCTTCGAGTGTAGAACTTAGTGTGCATGTTGATATTTCAAATGATAACTTATTGATAAAAATGATATCATCAGTAGGTAAGTATCTTGATCAAAAGATAGATATCACGATACTGTGTACACTTCGAGAATATTTTGCAAGGAGAGAGACTTAAATTTTTAAGTTGGACAACTGTGCTATTTGTTTACGTAACTTACTAAATGTATATTCCTTATAAACCTTTTTTGAAACAGACAATCAAGTTAGGATCATTATCAAAAAATTGAAAACATTTTCGTTCTTCAAAGGTCTATGGATATCGCGATTTTGGGTGACACAT